TCAGCATTTAATGACCCATGCAGACGGGGCGGTACACGCCAGCCGGGGGTGCAGCCTGGGGGTGCTGAGCATAACGAAACCCATCATGTGTCAAGGAGAGGTTGTTGAGGAAAGCCCCTGGGTAAGTGTAAAGAACCACCCCTTCACCACCAAATACTTACTGTGCGCCCTCTGGATGAGTAGGAATCTGTCCTTGACCTCCTCCTCCCCCCACCCCCGGGGGCCCAGTTAGATGCCTTGTGTTCTAGTCCCAGCTACACAGACTTTCCCTCCCTAGGCCTTGGCCTCTGCATCAGTCAGACCAGGTCCTTTAATCACTGACACTTCGGACTCAGAAGCGCTGCCCTCTCCCTCCTGTGTGTGCGCGTGTGCACATGGGATGCGCGTGCGTGTGTGTGTGTGTAAGAAGCCATAGTCCTCCCTGTCTCCCTCTCTGCACAGACACCGAGATACCTGCACCCACCTCCTCCCGGCCTCGGGCCCCCCACTCAGGGCCTCACCTGGAGTCGGCGCCCACCTTGGGAAACGCAGACCCTTAGCGCTGAGCAGACCAGAGCAGGGACCGGCACCACTGAATTCAAAGCCAATCACTGGAAGATGGGCCTGTTTATTTGCATGGCACACATTCAGCTCCCACTGTTTTATCCACCCCCTGAGCCGACCCCAGACTTCTCAGTTGGTCCTGCTGGCGCCAAGAGGCCAGATTGGTGGCGCGCACGCACCCTCACCGAAGCCCGATGCAGACTTCCAATTATCTTTTAATTTCGCTCCTGTCTTCATTTGTTCATTTCACTTTTTCCAAACAGACTGCGAAGGGGGCGGGGGTGGGGAGCTGTAATTTCTGGAGCTTGAAGCCTGCTAGTGGGAGTGTGGCGTTCACCGGCAGGATGGGATCAGACCTCAGGAGAGAGCCGGAAGCTCACTCCCAACCGCCCTGCAGGGGTGCTTGCCTCCTCTTAGAGGCCCCAAAGTCCTTGTTCTTTTGTCTTCCGGGCTTCTGTCTAGTAGCTATATCCTCTGATTTTCTGCATGGTGGACCGGCCACAGCGAACTCCCAGGATTAGCTAGTTCCTAGAGGCAGCAAATTACTCACCCAGGAGCGCCCCCTTTCATATGCAAATGAACCCACCCAAAGCGGAGCCACACCACCTGCTTTATCCGACTCTCCTGAGGCTCTCCTACACCAGGGCCAATATTCCCCTGTCCCAATGACTCCAGGACCAGGTAGGAGACAAAGAAAGACAGTGCTGGGGCCCCCTGAAATTATTCAAACTAGCTGATCCTAAATCTATTCACCTTGCCTCGCCCACTCCTTCCCATGAAAAACCACAATCACACTCCCATTCTGTCCTCTGGCTCCATCTGCCTCTTTCTTGACCCCAGTGCCTCCCCATGAGGCCCTGCATGGTGTGGCGTGGGGGACCCTCTTGGGAACTGTGAGTAACAACTCTCTTTTCTATGACAGGTGTCTCACAGAATAGAGGGTGCACAGCGGGAAGCCTCATTGAATGGGGGCTCCTCTGGGCTCGGCTGTTCGGCAGGCGTTACTCCGGCCCTCCCACAAGGGAGCGTCGCAGGAAATGCCACACCAGGAGTCAAATCAGTGCCATCTAACTCACACACACCCCCACATACATTGCCTGCACCTGCCCCAAGCCCCAATCTGGAGATGTCCAGACACCGTCATGCCTGTCAGGCTTCCATGTCCTCAGACCCACAATTTCTCTCCTCTTGGCCTTCCCTGTTCTGGCCACATCCACGCTCTGCGCTACCCCCGTGCGCTCTCCCACGGAAACCCTCACCAACGAGCATCATCACTCCCCACCAACCTCCTGCTCAGCAGCGTCTTCCCGAGGTGGCAGTCTGCCAAGGTGCCAGGGCCATCTGTGTCTCTGTAATATATGTCACTGCCCCAGCAAGGGGCGTGGTACATGGTGAGCATCTGGTGAATATTTGTTCAGTTAATCCGCCTACACCCCCCTCCTTCCTTTATCAATACTCGTTGCTAAACACCTCTTTCTGGAATACTCTTTTGACCTCTCTTCTGATGCCCCTTGCTCTAGTCTCCCTGGCCGTCCACTGGCCCGTGGTACTTTGTCAATAAGTACCTGTTGACAAGTCACCTCATTAATTTTTCCTCCGTGATCCCTTGTGGCTTGATCATATCTCGGGTGCATGCACCATCTTATGGATCAGGATATAGGTTCCCTCAGGGCTGGGACTGTGTGTTTTCTGCTCCCAGACGCCCCCCCACCATGGCCCTGCCACCCCAGGGGACTGGTTTGGCCACACCCAGTGCCTGGGAGCAAGTTTCCAAAGGGAAAGAGTGATTGTCTGACTCAAAGGGTTTACGCTGGAGCCACAGAGAAAGTGGCTCCTGGCGCAGTAGAGTCTTTACTGGGTGGGGAGCAGCATGCCCAAGGGGCTGACACCCTGCTCACTCGGTGGCATCTGAGAGGACAATGCCAGGTCACAGCATTGTCACCAAAGGGGCACGCCATAAGTCTTCCCCTTTCCAAGGGTGTGGGAGTCCCAAAGCTGCCCCTACCACCGAAATGGTAACTTGGCCAGCAGGGGACCCCCAAAGGCCTGGATTCACCATTGGACAAATCACTTCTATTACCCTTTATCCCTTTATACCTCGTCCTCCCCTTCCCAGAGGAAGAGGAATGATCCATGCAGCCAGAGAGATCCGGTCATACATCAAGACTCTGCCATTCACGATCTACGTGACATTGGCGGATCCCTCTGAGCCTGTGTCCTCACCTGTAGAATGAGGGTGATGACAGCACCTACCTCCCCAGATTACCAGGAGGATGAAATGATTTTACTTACGCAAAATACCCAGGACCTCACTCCCCATTTCCTGTTACTCATCCTGATGAAACAAGGTGCTCACCCACCTCCTCAGCGTGAAAAGGAATTCTCAGCAGACAAATAGCAAAGCTCACTTACTTTTTAATTCCTAGACCCACAGAAGTCTCCAAGGTGATTGTCAAACCTGGGGATTTCCTGGGAGATACCCCAAACCTACTGAATCAGAAAGTCTGAGGAGCAGAGAGGGGAAGAATGAAGGGGGGGAAATCGGAGGGGGAGACGAACCATGAGAGACGATGGACTCTGAAAAACAAACTGAGGGTTCTAGAGGGGAGGGGGGTGGGAGGATGGGTTAGCCTGGTGGTGGGTATTAAAGAGAGCACGCGTTCTGCATGGAGCACTGGGGGTTATATGCAAACAATGAATCATGGAACACTACATCAAAAACTAATGATGTAATGTATGGTGATTAACATAACATAATAAAAAAATAGAGAGAAAAAAATTTTAAAAAAAGAAAGTCTGAGGAGCAGAGCTTGGAAATGTGCATTTCTGACAAGCACCCCAGGGCTCCGGTGCCCATCATCTTCAGAATCACTATCTTGACCATGAGGGAAAGAAAAGGAGGGAACCTGCTGCCGGTCGCCCCCGGAACAGGCTGCGGAGGGCTGTGTCCCGGGGAACCATACCTGGTGGGTGAAGTCAGGTCTGCAAAACTCTGGACTCTGGAAACAGGGATACAAGTCCCCAGTTACAAGCCAACTGACATGAGCTTGGAGCTGCCATAAAATGGGAGGTGACGATTGCATCTCTCCCGAACGGGATGGTGGGCATCAGATGAGATTCATCCAGAGTGCCCCCCTCCATTCTACCCCTGGAAAGGCACAGAACATGCTGGTAGTTGTCTCCGCTGCGCTCAGCCCCATTCGGGCCAGGGGATCAGAGTCTCCGACACAGGGGGATCAGGCAGTGCAGGGCCCCCCTGCTGGGCACGTTAGCCACTTTACCTGCTGGCCCCAAAGGCAGCCCTGCCCTGGCCTCTGGGTGCCCTGGGAGGACCTTGGTCTGGGGAGGGGCAGAATTGAATCTGTGCTTCAGGTCCAGCTGGTGACGATTCATATGAATGATAATGACTCCGAGGAGGAGGAGGAAGAGAAGACGAAGAAGAATGGCTGATACTTCGTGAGCTTTCACAAGGTGGAGCTCAGCCCTGTGGGCTGTACGCACACCAACCACAACCTTATGAGGTGCGTGAGCTGTTACCCCCATTTACAGATGAAAGAACTCAGGCACAGAGAGGGGAAGTCACTTGCCTAAGGTCACACAGCTGGCAAGGGGCAGAGCCAGGTAGTCAGTCTGGATCTGGAAACCACAGCACTGGTGAGATGGGGGCAGGTGAATCTCCCTTGGCCTCTCACCAGAGGACGTTGTCCGTTTTCGAGGGCAAGGATGTGCCCCACGTCTCTCCCTGATCTGGGCACTAACGCCCGGTGCTTTCCCCATCTGCCCTCAGGAGGGCCAGAGGGAGGGCGGAGGCATTCAAAGCCGAGTCAGGTGGCTTGGCTGCAGTCCAGGGCTCAGCCGTCCCTGCTGCTAATTGCAGACCTCCCCGCCGGGACCAGCAGACCCCATCGGGAAGGAAACAGACAGGGAGGCCCTCAAGCCACACCTGCCACAGCTCTACCTGTCGCCCAGTTCACCACACCCACACTCCTAGCCCGGTGGATTTGCAAAAGAGAAAATAAAACACACACACATATAATAACCAACCCCGTGCGTTTCCTGGCATCAGGTGACTGTGTGGTCAAGAGCTTCCTCCCTCTTTGTGTACATCCTCCAGCTGCTGCTGGTTCAGGTGGCTGATCACAAGCTCAGCCCTGGGGCACAACCCCCACCCTCACCCCCAGGAAAAGTATCGAAGGATCCAGGGAGGCCAGCGCCGAGATCTGCTGGCCCTGAGCCCCAGTGGCCACCATCTGCCAGCACAAGGTCACCTTGGCTCTGACTCCCCCCAGCTGACCGGCCCCTGGCTGGCCAGAGCCAGCCCAGAACCCCCTCCAGCTCCGCTCCGCAGGAACCAGGAACCGGCCCCTATTGGACAATCATTAATCGGATTCTTGACATTCTTCAGCCCCCGGGAGGCTTTGGGAAGCATGCTCCCCGGAAGAGGAGGAGTAGAGGCCCAGGACTGGCATTTGGACATGCAGCTGACAGGCAAGGTGGTGCTGTCCGCCGCTGCCCTGCTCCTGGTGACCGTGGCCTACAGGCTGTACAAGTCGAGGCCTGGCCAGGCCCCACGGGGGGGCAGGAACGCCAAGGCCGAGGCCAATGAGGAGGCCGAGGGCTCCGGGCAGCCTGCGGTCCAGGGGGCTACTCCCGGGGCGCCGCACTGGGCGCTGAGACGCCGGAGGGGAAGCAAGGGGACCAGAGAGGCGCCAGGCTGTGGCTGGGAGAATCGGGGCCACTCCCAAGTCCTGGCAACAGGACGCTCTCCCGAAGACTCAGAAGCCCAAGAAGCTCGGGAGCCCGCGGAGAAGGGCGCTGGTGAGGAAGGGGGTGGGCGGCACCCGGACTCTGAGCCGGCGCCTCCTGGCTGCGGTGGCCGGGAAGCCGGGACAGCTGCTGGCCCTACGCCCAAGCGGCCCCACCACCCCCATTTGGGCAGCGAGTCCCAGAGCTCCCACGCTGGTCTCGCCACAGCAGCCGGCCGCAGTGAGGGCGGCGAGCCTGGCCCGTGGCTGGACAGTGGCCCCCCGGGGCAACCAGGGTCCCGGGAGCAGGAGGCTGCCCCCACCAACTGGATGGCCCACGTGGAAGGCAAGAGCGACGTGAGCAAGAGCTGGGTCTTCACCCGCGTGACGGGGGTCCACAGGGAAGAGGCCGGGGTCCTCCAGGCCACCGTGGACATGGGCCTGACCCTGCCTCAGCAGGAGGGAGCCTCCAGCACCTCTTACACCTACTCGTCGGTGGCCTGGGTTCGTGTGGAGGAGAATTTCCTACAGGACAAGGGGGAGGGGGCCGGGCCCAGGCTGAAGGGCAAGGTGTACGATTACTATGTGGAATCCACCTCCCGGGCCACCTCCAAGGGCAGGCTGGCCCCCAGAACAGCTGCCCTGGCTGAGTGTCCGGCCCCCGTGCCACCACCAGGCCCCCCGGGAACAGGGGCAGCTTCAGGAGGCCAAGCCGCTGACCAGGAAGGTGGAACCGAGACACCCACCTGCCCCCAGCCTGTGCCATCGCCCCCCACGCAAGGCTTCAGCAGGAAGGACAGCCTCCTCCAGATCCTGGAGAACCCAGAGCTCCAGCTGCAGCTCGATGGCTTTGGGGCCCCCACTCCGTCCTGCCCAGACCGGAGTGCCCTGCCTGGCCGCCCCCTCCCCGGGGCTCCTCTCGGGGCCAGCTCAGCCGGAAGCAGCGGGGAGCCCCACGTGCAGCTGGTGGCAGGGACCAATTTCGTCCACCTCCCGCCGGCCCCTGGCTCCGCCCCGGGCGTCCACCTGGATCTGGGCAACTGCTACCAGGTACTGACCTTGGCCAAGAGGCACAAGCTGGAGGCGCTGCAGGAGGCAGCCTACAAGGTGATGAGTGACAACTATCTTCAGGTGCTGCGCAGCCCAGACGTCTACGGGTGCCTGAGTGGGACCGAGCGGGAGCTGATCCTCCGGCGCCGGCTGCGGGGCCGCAAGCACCTGGTGGTGGCCGATGTGTGCCCCCAGGAGGGCTCCGGCCGCCTCTGTTGCTATGACGAGGAGAGGGACGCCTGGCACCCGCTGGTCCGTCTGCCCCCCGAGGCTGTGTCCCGAGGCTGTGCCCTCTGCAGTCTCTTCAACTACCTCTTCGTGGTGTCCGGCTGCCAGGGGTCTGGGCGCCAGCCCTCCAACCGCGTCTTCTGCTACAACCCGCTGACGGGGATCTGGAGCGAGGTGTGCCCGCTGAACCAGCCCCGGCCGCACTGCCGGCTGGTGGCCCTGGACGGCCACCTGTACGCCATTGGGGGCGAGTGTCTGAACACGGTGGAATGCTATGACCCCCGCCTGGACCGCTGGACCTTCGTCCCACCGCTCCCCAGCGACACGTTCGCGCTGGCACACGCGGCCGCGGCGTGCGCCGGTGAGATCTTCGTCACGGGCGGCACCCTGCGCTACCTGCTCCTCCGATTCTCCGTCCGGGAGCAGCGCTGGCAGGCTGGGCCCGCGGGGGGCGGCGAGGACCGCACGGCCGAGATGGCGGCGGTCAACGGCTTTCTCTACCGGTTTGACCTCCGTCGCAGCCTGGGCATCAGCGTGTGCCGCTGTAGGGCCAGCGCCCGCCTCTGGTATGAGTGTGCCACGCAGCGGACGCCTGACCCCGACGCCTTCCGGTGCGCCGTGCTGGGGGACCTCATCTACTGCGTGGGGCGCCGGCGCACGCTCTGCTTCCTGGCCGACCCCATCTCGCCCAGGTTTGTGCCCAAGGAGCTGCGGAGCTTCCCCTCCCCGCGGGGCACCCTCCTGCCCACCGTCCTGACCCTGCCCGTCCCCGGTGTGCCTCAGACCAGCGTCTAGCTACCCGCTCCGCCGGACTTCTCCTGCAACACCGGGAAGCAGAAGGCACCCCCTGCCTGCCACTCCATGAGCCATTTCTAGGAGAGCAGGCCGCTCAGGCATTTGGCCGGCGAGAGGTGAATTCTAACCCTACCTCCCCCGCTGGCTGGGGCCCTCGGATGCGTCTTTGCTGTCAGGGGGATGCAGAGATAGAACCAGGGACCAGTGCTCCGAGGCTGAGGGCAGCCACACACGTGTGCAGCGACGGGTGCCGCCTTGCTTCAAATCCGAACTCTTGGCGGAAGGGACGTCAGGGTCCCGCCAAAGTTCGGGGGCGCAGCCTCATCCCAACCACAGGTCCCGGTGCCGGTTGACCCCCAATAACCCCTCAAGCCAACCCCGCTGGAGGTGGGCCAGCTCTCTATAGGCCACCGGGGCCCCGTCCTAAACACTGGTCACGAGCCCTTACCTCCAGGGTTCCCAGAAGCACCCGGGACACACAAGGAGGTGGTTCCGGCCGTGCCAAGAGCCCTGGGGAGCCCCCAGGGGCCCGGCCAGAGGAGAGATGGTTGGAGAAGTAGATCAGCGACAGTTGGTGCTGCCCATGGGACTCTTGTCTGCAGAGCAAATTGACCCACCTCACTTGTTCTCATTACCTAGAATTCTAGTATACTAGGAGGAGAAGCCTCCAATTAGCAGCCATTTGAAAACATACATCCTGTAGTGGTCCACAAAGAAGAGCCCCAGTGATCCCACATCTGAGGTCTCAGGAGAGAGAGGAGTAGGTGCGATCTGTCGGCGCCCGTCCTCCTGGGCTCCCCCGCGTGGGCCCATCCTCCTCTTCCTGACCACTGACTCCCTCCCCAGAGCTCGGAGCCTGCAGAATACAGCAGCCGTCCGAACAACACAGCCCTCACCTCGGGGAGCAGGGGCAGACACTGCCAGGCACCCCTCCCGGGCTGCTGAGAGACGTTGGCATAATTTCTCCTCCCTGGGCCCTGTGGTCACCTGGTCTGCCCGGTCAGATAGGAGAGGAGGGAGGGGCAGGTTCGTGACGGAGCTGAGGAACTGGAAAATCACACAGGACACTGGGACCGGCTCTACACATCAGAGTTGGTAAATTCGGAAAGGGCAGAGACCCTCCAACCTCAGGACGTTGCCCATTCTTCCTGGAGGGGAGGAAGAGAGACCGGTCCCATCTATTGCCACAGCCCTGTTCTCTCGCTGAGGAGGACGCATACACAGATAGGAGGGCAGCAATGTTCCCGGTGTCAGCCGGAAGCCAGGGCAGCTGGGACCACTTCTAAAGTGACAGGCAGCCTGGAGGAAAGTAGAGATGCGGGTGCACCAGGGCAGGCCTGACAAGTGGGGAGCTAAGGATGCTTTGGATTTCAGCGTTCCTACCTTGAAAATGGGAAGGACATTTCATGGCCTTCTCTGCCAGAGAAATGAGAACACCTGGAGAAAGTCCTTCCCAAATTCCCCTGGGGGTCTGGACAGGAGCTCATGTTCACTGCAGCTGCTGGGGCTGAGCCAGGGTCTTCCTGGAAAATGCACAATTAGAACAAGAAATAACAGGGAGGTTGGCATGGAGATGAGAACTTCCATTGGGCCCCTCAAAGCCACCGTCCCCATTCTAGGGCCTGGAAGGTGAGGCTGCCTAGTTGATTCCTAAGTTGGAGCCTAGTGACCACCCCCTCCCCCATCCCCTGCCAAGGCCATGCTCAAGCTCAGAGCCAACACTCAGACATGAGCCTCCTAGGGACCCTTGGTGGGGAAGTGGGGGTAACTCAGCATGACTGAGAGGCGGCATGGGCATCATGATGCCATGCTGGGGGTTGCTTGGAAGGTGAACCCCATCTGGAAGCTGGGGGCAGATGGAGCCAGATCCAGCCCCCAAGGGCAAGCCTCCAGCAAATAGCCAGGCAATGGACTAGACCACAACCAAGCAGGGAGGCCTTGAGGGAGGGCTCCAAGCCCAGGGTGACCTAGAGATCACTCCAGAAAACTTGTCAGAGCCCCGTTGCCTGGGGCATGGTCCCATGGTCAGGACCAGGGAAACCGCAGAGTTTGTTCCTGACCCACTGACGGTGGGTGATCTCGTCATGATGGAGGGAGGGCTGAGAGGGTAGTACGGGGCCCATCTCATCTACATCCCTGGGGTCCTGTGCAGACATCACTCATCGATCGCCTTATCTTTTCCCATTGAGCCTCAGAACCCAGAACACCGGGCCCTAGGCAGTCACCACTGATAGATGAGAGCTGGCGTGTTTCTCATCACTGGCCTGGGTCTCCAGAGCTAGCTAGGGAAGTGAGTGGTCAGGACCATCATGGTAGAGCAAGGCAGTTCAGGGAGCCTGCAAAGACCACCTGGATTCATTCACAGAACGTTCAGGCTGGGCACTGTTCCGGGTGCTGGGAATGCAGCAGGTCCCTGCCCTAACAGAGCGCACGTTCTGCTGGAGGAAAACAGGCAATTTCTATCAACAAATGCATAAACAAATGAATGGGACCCATGCTGCATACGTACAGAAGGCAGAGGAGGCAAAGAAGTATTATTGTGTGATCAGCCTCCCTGATAAAGAGACAGTGAGCAGAGCCCTGGATGGAAATCCGGGAAATGCATGGACCAGGGCTGGCTCAGGGCACGGGAAGCCTGGCCCTGCCATCAGCGGGGGCTTCGTCACCCCGGCCGGAGAGGGCAGGGCTGCCTGCAAGGAGCTCCACCTCGGAGTGAAGAGGATGGGAACCCAACTATCGTGCTCTAGCCATTCACGTAAGGGAGCGTTTAGGAAAGAGGCTCCTTGCACGACGGTAAGCTACATCCCCTGGAGAGAAGCAGAGTGCACGCATTTACGGGGAGAGTCCAGATCGCACACCACCACCGTGCCTGAGTGTGTGTCTGGGTGTCAGCCTGCCCGTGATCCTCCACAGGGATCAGAGTCTAGGATTTCCACTTGACCCTGTGGGATAGCCTTGCCCGGCCACCTCGAGCCCTCAGCCTCACGGAGGCCTGTGTGTCCCTTGGCCTCTCCCTGGGTCATCTGTCCTGCTTCCCCGTGAAGAATTTCTTCGTTAAAACAAAACTAAAAAACAACTCTTCAGCTTGGGTAGCTTTCCACGTGAGGCCAACCACAGCTTTGTAGGAAAGAAAATTGGAAAATACAAAAGTACAAAAAAATCTCCCCCTTTCCACCACCCAAAGACAACCCCCTCTGCAGTGCACGTCCCTCCAGCCTGTGCACCTTTTCTTTGGCTTGATTTTTGCCAACGTGTGATTATGCTGAATGCACAATTCAGCTGCTTCCTTTTTTCACTTAGCTTTTTAGAATACACATGTTCCGTGTTGCTACAAACCCTCGGCAAACATCATTTCAATAAGTGCACAATGTTCCACCGAGTGGCTGTACCATGGTTTATTTAAACAGTTCCCCGTCCTGTCGGGCCTGTAGATTTGTTTTTCCCACTGTTGGTTTCTTTTTCCTTCATAAATAAACCGTCTTCTGTTTTCCTGTTCCTCTCTGTCTGGGGCCTCCATCAATATTTACAAGAGAAGCCCCGTCTAGGGCTTGTCTGGAATACAGGGTTGCCGAAGCAAGCCTCGAAGCCACAGCATCTGCCTAGGACTGGGGCCCGGCCCCACTCTGAGTGTGGGGCACAGGGCACGGGGCACAGGAAGGCAAGGCTGCCCACCGGGGCTGTCCCAGGTGCCCTGTGGCTTTGCTGGAGCCGGGATGTAAGGGACAGGCCATGTGTATAGAGCCCCTGCTCTGTGTAGACCAAGCACTGGACTAGATGCTTTCTACACATCACTTCACTGATCCTGACAAAAACCGCATTTTACAGGGGACAAAACAGGCTCACAATGTTCAAGGAAACTCACCTTCATGCCAAAGTTCAAAGACTCTCAGTTCCCTTCAAAACACCCTTAAACCTGGCCTGCCCACTCTCTACACTTCCATTCCCCTATCATGAAGCCCTGGGGCCAAGCACTTGGCATCAGCCATCCCCTGGGCCGCTCCCAGCCCCTTCCCCACTCACACTGATCACATGTGCTCTATCCTTGAACTTTGCACTCAACAAAAACAGTCCTCCTTCTTTTCCTTAAGATTTATTTATTTATGTTAGAGCAGGGGAGGGGCAGAGGGAGAGGGAGAGAGAGTCTCAAGCAGACTCCACGCCGAGCATGGAGCCCCACACGGGGTTTGATCTCACGACCGTGAGATCAGACCTGAGCTGAAATCAAGAGTCGGATGCTTAACCAACTGAGCCACCCAGGCGCCCCTCAAAGAAAATATTCTTAAACTTTCTGATCCTCAATGTCTGCATCTGTAAAATGGGTTTGCCACCTCCAGCCTCAAGATGATGTAACAAGCAAATGTGTGTAAAGCGCCGGGCCCAGGGATGCTCCAAAGTAGGTCTCCTAAGTACCATCGGCTTCTGCAAGGGCCAGCTGGGAGGAGGGTCTGCTGGTACTCCCACTCCCCTTTCTCAGCATCCCAGATCCAGAGGAAGGTTGTCTAACATTTAAGCTGCAGGAACCCTGTCTGATTTGGCAAGATTTGGGGGCTCGGGGGAGGAGTGGGGTGACGCTCACCTTATTTGTATTTTACACCATTTGGGTTTTGAGACTCTGAGCCTCTACTCTCCTCTTCCACAGTAGGTGACTTACTGATTGGAGCCTCCACAGGTTCAGAGCGTTAAGCCTTTTCCCAGCGTGTTGGACAGCGCGGAGGAGCTTTAGGAGCTGCTTGGAGATCCCTGGAAATCTTGAGAAGGTGCAAGGGGGAGCAGGCTCCTTTCTTTTACGAGATGGGGGTGAGGGTCGTTGGGAGCTACTGGAACAGTGTGCACTGTGTCTGGCCTACAGATATTTAGAGTCGTGACAGGTGCCCCTCCCTTCCCGCCTTTGTCATCCTTGCCTGGAAGAGCCTTGTAGCCCCAGGGCTGCCCTGTGATCCCCTAAAGCTGTGGCTCCAGTCAGCAGGAGCCTCCAAGGCAGACAGACATGAGGGGTGAGGCTCGGGCAGAGGAAGGGGACAGAACACAAGGGAAGAGGTGCCCTCGGGAAAGGGGAGATTAGGCGGGAGGCTCCAGCAGCCAAAAGAAAGGACTGCTCCAGGGCAGTGTCTACAAACAGCTCTTTCGAAAAGTGGGATGTGGGTCAAAATATGAACAAAAATGAAAACGCGATCAAGTCTGGCTTGCCTCTCGGTGTGCCGAGAGGCGGCGGAGACAGCTCTCACACGGGTAATAGGATGTTAACAGCCCCAGCGTCCCTGCACCACCCTTCCCTCCCTCGTCGAACCCTTACGGGGACATCACTGCCTGAAAGTGATTATGCTCATGACATAGGGGAGGAAACAAAGACAAGACATTTCACAAAAATTAAAAATCACTAAAAAACTAGAAGGGAGAGGGGGCGCCTGGCTGGCTCAGTTGGAAGAGCATACGACTCTTGGTCTTGGGGGAGTGAGTTCAAGCCCCATGTTGGGTGTAGAGTTCACTTTTCAAAAAAGGCAGAAGAGAGAAACCTAATCTCTGTCAATACATTTATTGAGCATTCACAATGCTAATAGGCGCTATACTCCTATGATCTCGTTTTACCCTCAAAACAACCCAATAGGTGGTAAAACTGGTCAAATTCTCCCCTTCTATCAATTCCTCCACCCCTTGGATCTGGCCGTGGGCCTTTCTCCAAATAGCTTGGGCATTGGATTTGCTGTCTTGTGGCTCTTAGAAACCCTGTGACCATCACCACGTGAGCAAGCCCAGGTTAGCCTGCTGGAGGATGAGACACGTGGCCCTATTACCAGTTCCCACAGTCAACGGCTGGCCTCAAGTGCCTGAACGAGCCCAGGTAAGACCAGCAGGCCCCCTGCCTGAGCCCCAGCCCAAAGTGCCCATCCACTAACTCATGAGCAAAGTAGAGGGTTATGCTTTTAAGCCATATATTTGGGGTTTGCAACTCAGCAGGAAGTGGGTGACACAACAGTCCCATGCTGCATCATGATCACCACCACGTTATGCTTGAGGAAACTAAGATTCAAGAAAGTGATCATGTAGGATCACGTAGCTACAAGGTAGAGAGGCTGGGATGCCACCCCAGGTCTGCCTTACTCCAAATCCCATGCTCATCATTCAGCCACACTCTGTTCTAGCCAAAAACAGGGCACTGGGGTTCCTCCCGGGGGCCTGGCCATGGAGCTTGGTACTCAGCCCTCTGTCATTCCCAGAAGGGCTGGGTCTCCACCAGGACCCAGGCGAGGTCTGTAGGGGGATGGCTCTGAACCATCAGATCAGCTCCTTGAAAAATAACCACTAATACCTACTGAGGGCCAGGACCTGCTCTAAGCACCTGACTGCCAGGAATTCTTTAATTCTAAAAACAACCCTGTGTGTTTGATACTTTACCGTTTCACAGATGAGAAAGCTGAGGCACAGAGGGGTTAGGTAACCTGCCCACGGTTGCATAGCCAATGAGTGATAGAGCCCATGAAACCCTGGGTTGCTCCAGAGTTGTCGGGAGATGAATCAGCTATGAAAACAGGGAGACCTTTGCTTCCTGCCCCCCTGCAGCACCCTCCCACCAGAACACTGGGGTCAGAGGCCTTGTCTACCCTGCTCACTGGGTCTTGTTCATACAGGTGCGTGAACAAGGGCAGAAGCTCAGTGACACTTTACCAAAGAAAGGATAAGAGTGGCAAGGACCTCTCCATGAGGCTGCCTGCTTCCAGGCTGCTTGGACCCCCTGCTGGTGATTTTGAAGCTGCCCTCGAGCATCCTGGCATGAGTTTGGCCCCTGGGGGTGAGGGTTGGCAATCCAAAATCCTGAGACCACCTGCCAAAAGCCATGGCCCTGCTCATTGCATTATCCAACACTTGCATTCACTGAGAAGTTTATACAGAGAGTTCAAATCTACCATCGTCCCATTTCACAGATGAAATAAGCGAGGCTCAGAGAGATCTCACAGCTGTGATGTCAGTAGTCATCCTTCAAGGTCTTGAAATTGTGGTATCAGCTTCCCACCACCGACATGGCCCACTCGTCCATCAGGACACCCCACACTGCACACATAAGCCCCCCACATCTCACTCCTCGGCCAATAGGTCTGCTGGCCCCCTTGAGTTCTCCGGGGGCAGCAAGGAGGTCTTGTCTGCCTCTGTCATGCATGCGGGCACAGGGCAGCCACACAGCATGGCTCAGAGGCAGGTGCAGCTGAGCTATGTCCCTATTCAAAATGCACCATCAAGTACTGCAATGGGGTGTTTGGGACTGCCCAGCTGGATTTCTCTCCTGTCTCCAAGGGAGACTGTTTTATGCCTTCTGCCCTCTCCTCAAACACCCCCCTCACATTGGCACGCAAGATTGGGGCACAGAGAATCCTTCAGTCCTTACAGTGCTGAGCACACCCACTCTGCTGCAATTGTCAGCACCTGCACGCTGCCCAGGAGCCTTCCAGTGCCCATGCTAGCGCCCCCTGGAGGAGCCTAACTGGTAGGAATTGGTGTATAAATACCCCAGCTCCCTCGACCCTCGGTGGTTAACAGCCTTGGGTTGTCACTTTAACAAAGTCACTTCAGTCCTCCCTGCCTATCTTCCCACCTGCTCCTCCTTCTGTCTAGAGACTGTAGAGGAGGCACGCCCTCCTTTCCCCTAAAACCCATCCACTCTCACCTTCTTTAGGACTTGACACCAGAGACCGCCCGGCTCTGGCACTGACCACCTGCCCCTATCGGCTGGGTAGTTCCAGGCAGCATACAAATGGGCTCTGGCATCTCCCATCTTAATAGAAGAGCAACTTCCACAGGATTTGCCTGATAGCACAATAAATAAAAACCACAAATACACTTTAGAAGGTTAAAAACATCACACACGTATAATGCATCTTTATTTGTAGTGAGTGTCAAAGCGATGTGGTATCTTTGTGTTCCTGAAAACACTTTATCCTCTGAAGATTTGTGATTGTTTTTCCTGCAATCATGTTTATGCTATCACAGTCAACAATCTTTGCTTTGTAGAAAATATGAGGGTTAGATTTAACCTGGCCTCAATTTGAATCATAATAAATTCTGAGTGAACTCCCAAAAAAAAAAAAAAGCTTCCTGTTACAGAATGCTTCTTGTTTGATCTGAAGGAGCCAAAATCTTGGATTGTACCTAAAAACATTTAACCCCATGCCTCGTATCTTTTAACTACTCAGTTTCACCTCCCAAGCCTGGTGTCTCTCCCCTGCACCAAGCCGTGGGGCGGGGCCGGGGGCTGACGGCAAATTAGTGCAAGATCAACCCCAAGAAATCCCAGGTAGGTACTGTCTTTAGTACAAGTAGTCTTTGCCTTTTTAAACACATTTTTTATGTGTTAAAATATACATAACACAAAATTAACCATCATAGCCACTTTAAAGTATACGACTCAGTGGCATTAAATACATTCACGATGCTGTGTGTCCAGCTTT